AATGCCTGTTTAGCCAGCATGAGGCCATGAGTTCAAATCCCAGTACTGCAAGAAAAAAAAATACCCTGCCAGGAATAGCAAGTCTTGTATGTTACTTCATAGATTTGTTTGCTTGCAATGATATTGTTGCTAAAGTAATTCCAAAACCATTTTATGAGTGTTTGGTGATAGAGTAAGAAAGTAAATGTATCGACATTGTTGACTTCTGACATCATGGCAAAATTATAAATATGGCTTGGAGAGGAGGCTGGCAGAGTGGCCCAAGTGGTAGAGCGCCTGCCTCCTAAGATGAGGCCTTGAATACTGTTTGGGGAAGAACCTGTTGTAGTGGATATGAACTGGAGCCATTTGTATGGAGCACAATATTTCCTACATGTTTTTTCTGCGTCTGTACATAGAATCAACCTGGCACCCATGGCATCCTAGTGTAACAAAATGCCTAGCTCCAGATCTTAGTTTCTAAAACACCACTCTCTGCCGGGCACCAATGGCTCATGCCTGTAATCCTAGTTACTCAGAAGGTAGAGTTCAGGAAGATTATGGTTCCAAGCCAGCCCAGGGAAGTAGGTCATGAGACTCTACCTTAAAAAACCCATCACAAAAAAAAGAGCTGGTGGAGTGGCTCAAGGTATAGGCCTGAGTTCAAACTCAAAAATATTTTTTAAAGTTAAAAAATATTTAGGGTTGGAGACAGAACTAAGTGGTAGAGCACTCGCCTGACATGAGGCCCTGGGTTTGATCCCCAGCATTGCATTAAGTAAATAAACAAATAAACATACATTTAGGGGGAAACAACAACAATAAAATCTTATGAAATACAGAAATATAGACCAGCATTAAGGAAGGTTATAGCTTTAAATGCATACACTGGAAAAGAGAGTTTAAAAATCAATAATCTGTGTATCCGCCTTATAATTTGTTTCCTAAGATATATTTCAACATGGATACCTTTTTACAAAGGAAGTTTAAATCAAAGGAAATAGAAAAAAACATCAAGATAGAAGCAGAAACTAAGGAAAGAAGAAATATATCTGCAATAAATAAAATCAACAGCTGGGGATACAGCTTAGTGATAGAAGTTGGCGGTATTGCCTAGCATGCACAAAGCCCTGGGTTCAATCTCCAGAAACATACAGACACACATACATGATGAAAACAACAACAAAGCCAAAAAATGATTCTTCAAAACAGATAATAAAATACCCAGTTGCCACTCTTGTAATCCTAGCTACGTGAGATGCTGAGATTGTAAAAAAAAAAAGTGTGCAAGTCTCCATCTCAATGAAGTGAAAAAAATCTTCATGTAGTGCCAGGCATGTGGTACACACCTGTAATCCAGCACTCAGGAGGCTGAGGATCACGACTTTGAGGCCAGTCTGGTTTACATATGGAGACCCTGTTTCAAAAAAGAAAAGAAAATTCACAGAAGAGGACCTCCAGATGACCAGCAATCACATCCAACCCTGTGACATTCATTATGGATTTGTTTATTTTCTGTGTCCCTCCCATGAAGGCAGGGCTTTGTCCATCTTGGTCGCCACTGTGTCCCTTGGCAGATGATAGGTGTTCCTCACATTTTTTTAGGCAGTACTGGAGTTTAAACTCAGGGCCTTGTGTGTTTGCTAGGCAGGAGTACTACAATTTGAGTCACATTCCCAGCCCTGTTCCTCACATTAAAAACCCCAAAATTATGCTGCTGGGGATGGGACCCATAACCTCCTGCATGCTAGGCAAGAGCTTTACCACTGAGCTGTGCCTCTAGCCCTTGCACGTTTGATATAATACAGAAAAAGTTACTATGTGCTGAAAGCAGAGAAGAATCAAGTGCATCCACAACCCCACAAACACACTCCTGAGCTCAGGGCTGAGAGGCTGGCTCCCACTTCCCAGCTGCATGACACTGCACAGGCAACTCAGCTCCCCGAGCCCAGGGTTTCCTCAGCTGTGAAATGTGGGAGAACTACAGGTTTCCAATGTGCTCGTCACCAAGGAGCCAGAAGGCTGTTGTCACCACATACCTACTCAGACATGCGATCTCACACACACACACACACACACACACACACATAATTTGCACACACAAGCACAGTCCTCAGGCACAAAAGGCATTTCTTCCTGATCCCCAGGAAGGAGGAAGTCCAGTCATTTCCTAGTTAGCTGGGCTAGAGTACAAAGAGCCACAAGGATCACACCCCAGGAGGGTCATAGGCTAGGAGGGGAAAAGGAGTGAGATGAAAAGCCATGGCCCTAAGAGGAGGGGCAAAGGGGAACACCCTAGTACACCCTTCAGGTTTTGAGATGCAGGCCTACGTCCAGACAAAGCCATGGAGAAGGTCATTAGACAGAGTGGTGGCCATTGAGAGAGCACTTCCAGTGAGTGGTTTGAGCCCCGTGCTTCATCACCTCATGAGGAAGGTGCTGACCTGAGCTGCACTTCACGGATGAGGAAACTGAGACTCGTGAGTGTTTCTGCTCTCCCCTGCACCACAGATACCAGATCAGTATGGAGCAGCCGGAAAAACCCAGCACCTGAGGACACAACCACCCCCACCCAATGCCCAATGCCAGCCCAGACTTGAATCCCTGGAATTTTGCTCATCAGAGCCCTGGTAGGATACCACCATTTGCCTATGGCTTATTTGCCTATGGTAAAGCTTTGGTCAAACCCAGGGACTGGGCCGGGGTTGAGATCCAAGAGGAGGGATGGGAGCTGTAGGAAGACCTGATCAGTCTCACAGACCTGGCGAGTTTTCACCCCTGCAGAAGGAGCAGAAGCAGTGACAGCAGAGGAGTGATGCTAGTCTCGGCTAAGCCTGCTCACAGGGACACCAGGCAGGCCTAATTTCCTCCTCAGCTGAAGAGGAAAGCAAGCCCTTCTACTAGGAGGGCAGGAATTTCTGAGAAGCCACAGCAGACAAACACCAAAAAAGCTAAAAGACATCTCTAACCATGAAGCTCAGGAAGTCTCCTTGGAAACTGAACACTTACTCAGAGCCTCAGGACACTCAGTTTGCACTCAGGTCTAACACACTGGGATTTCACACTTGGACATGACAATCTAGAGAAAGAGGTGTCTTACAGTTACCATGCTCCTTTTCTGTGGCTGCCAGGCACGGTGCTGGCTAAAGAATCCCGTGGACTGGGAGTGTGGCTCAAGTGGTAGATCACTTGCCTAGTAAGCATAGGCCCTGAGTTCAAACTCCAGTACCACAAAAAAAAAAAAAAAGATAGAACGCTTGTCCAGGGGTTCAGGCTGTAGTAGATAGCCAAGAAGGTGAGCACGGTAGGGAGAGATGGAGGCAGGAAGGAGGAGGAGGGAGCATGGGCCAACCCTGTAGCATGGCCAAGGCCTCTGCAAGGAAAGATCTTGGCTAGGAGGCTACTGCTGCGAGCACTCTCCTGAGAGAGACCTCCAGCCTGGCCAGGGTCAACCAATCCCGTTTCACAGCTGCAACTGAGGCGGGCCCCAGGGACCCTCCCACTTCTAGCTTCTTAAAACAAGAACAGGAAGCAGAGAGAGTTGTCTGACAAAACATTGGTGGAAAACCACATCCGCTCCTTTCACCAACAGAAAGCCTGCCCGAGAGTTGGAACAGCAAGGGAGCAGAGACCCCCCAACTCAACCCTTATACACAAAGCAGGGCACACTGCAGAGACCCCCCAAACAGAGGCTCAAGGAGATAAAATGTGCTTAGAATACTCAGAGACTATGCAGCAGCAGTTCCCCACTCCTAGGGACTGCTTGCCCATCTGGTCATCTCTGGGGCCTGGGGTCCTCCAGCATCATTTGCATCTTTGCAGTTTCGGGTTTCAGTGGGCATGGCATCTCTACACATGACAAGGGTAGCAGTTGACCTCACTCCTTTACATCCCCTCAGAGCACCTTTAAGAGACAAAGCAGCTATCTGCCCCTACTTGTCCCTGAACTGCCATTCTCAGCAACTGCTATCCCAAAAGTAGACATGAGGGGAAGGACAGAGAAAGCCTAACGAGCGCTCAGAGGATGAGGTCAGCAGGGGTAAGGGCTATAACTAGAAAGTGGAGCCAGAAAAGATGGATTGACAGATGGGGAAAGGAAGAAATGAAAAGGTGGATGAATGAATGAACAGAAAATGAAAGCATGCCCAAGTGGTGAAACCAGGAAGGAAGCAGGAACCTCCTTTGCTGAGCCATGCCTTCGGCCAGGAACTGTCACACTCTCCCTTGCTGCAGGACCCACTCCTGGCTTTACAAAGCACTTCAAATCCTCTTAATAGCCTGCCAGGCAGATATTCCGAGAAGCAGACCCTGTTGGCTGGTGGAAAAGGGATGCTTGCCCAGCTTCTAGGGGCGCAGTGGGAAGCCAGGGACCAAGAAGGGCTTCCTGCCATGTCCCGCCCAGGTGGCAGAGCTTCCCATGGGCTGGGTTTCCTAGAAGAAGGTCAGGAAATGCCAGCTGAAGACCCTCTGCAAACCCTCCCCGCCTTATCTGGCCTGCCAAATATCAGTCACCAGGCCCCAACATGAGGAGGGAAGCCAGGAAGGATGTGGCACTGGCAGGAGGGTTCTTAGGTCTGAGACACTTGGCAATACAGCCTGGGCCAGAGAGAGACTAGACCTGGGCAGCACTGTGTGCACCCAGCAGACCAGTACCTATATAGATAGCTCCTGAACCCCCTTCCTGTGCCCCTGGGAAAAATCCCCAGCCTTGGACAACTGACCATCAGTGTCAGGCTGGGTTTGATCACAAACAAGGCGTCAGGATCCTATAGTCTCCCGAGCCCTCAAGCCAGGAATGAACTCACACATTACCTCTGCAGCACTGCCATTGCCCTGCCTTATAGGCACACCTGCCACCTGTCCTGTGCAAGAACCTTGGGGCTGCCTCTTTGTACCCAGGACTGACTGCTGCTATAGCCCAAACCCACACACGTCTTCTGCACGGCCTCATCATAGCCACAAAGTCTCCAGGAGGGGCCAGCTACCCAGGGCCACCAGCTCCCACCCGTCTGTTTACTCACCGTCCAATGTCCGAGCAGACCTTAGAGTCGGCAGCTACAGCAGCATGGGCAAAGGCCTGGGGGCCACAGGGGGCGTGGTGGCGAGAGAGGACCACAGCCAGCACAATGATGGCCAACCCCAGCCCCAGCCCCAGCAGGACCAGGCTGACTATGTGGCCCTGGGCCATGGTTTGGTGGTCCAGAGGGACAGGGGAGGCACTTGGGGAGACACGCCAGCAGATGGACAGAGAGACAAACAGACAAGCAGGTAAATAGACAAGATGCACACAGGTGGACTTGGATGATTGGACAGATAGAAAAAATCAGTGGGGCCAGAGACAGACAAATAGATGGACTGACATACAGGCTAGAGCAGCTAGACAGAGAAGATGGTCAGATATACATTTGGATAGCAAAGGGCTTTACAGACAGATGAGTAGACAGATTGGTTTACAGTCAGACAGACAGATGGGTTTAGAGACAGACGGACGAACAGCAGCAGCCACTGCCTTCCTCAAGTGCCGCTACACAGGCAGATCTGCTCACATGCTTGAACTTCTAGTTTCCAGTCCCTGCCTGTCCCGGGCAGCTGGCCAGGCATCTAGGGGGAGTTTTTCCTTGCAGAGAGCAACCAGCTGCTGCACTTAACTCTCTCATTGCTGACTGGTCCAATGGCCCCTTCTGTTCAACCAGTGGCAGCCAGGGTCACCTCATCCCAAATTGCTTGTGGACTTGGTGCCTTCTGCAAGTGGAGGGCGGGGCTGGGTGCAGGGCTCCCAGGAACCCTTATACCATATCCTTGGTTCCCAGCAATGCAGGGAAGGAAGATCTGGGGTGGCCTTGCTCTCGCCTGGCTCAGGCTCAGAGAGCTTCACTCCATCCCCCAGGGTGGAGCCCCACTATCCAATTCCACCCTCCTCAGTGGCCTTGCCTAGGCAAGAGCTCAGCCACATGGCACTGGAGTAAAGCTGAAGAAAGCGGATCCAAGGCAAAGTCACTCAGAAGAGTTCAGCCACAGCCTGGCCCAGGTGTCACCCATATGGCGGGGGACACAGTTTGCAAACAGGCCATGGGTACAATCCTTGGTACTCAGTGCCACTGGGTCACCTACCCAATCGCCACTATCCCAGTGCCACTGGGACCTACTGACTTGGAGATGCAACCCTGGGCCTCTTGGGGGGCAAGGCTGCCCTGCCAGGTCCCCCACTTCCTCCCCATGCTCAGCCCCTCCCTTGTTACATGTCTGCTTCCCTGTGACTATCAGTGCTTAGGGCTATTCCTGTACTGACTGTGCCTCCTGGCTCCTGTCCTTTTGTCCTTTGGGACACTGGCCTGAATTCATCCTGTCCTTCCCAAGTCTCAGGGTATCTAACTGGGAGGCAGCTGTGGAAGTGGGGACCCACCGAGTTTCTCTCTTGACCAGGATTAACAGTGGTGCAGTGCACAAGGGCCATGGACTGGACTCCCACCAACAGTCACTATAACCACACATCTTCCCCACTCCCTTTCCACTGGAATACCGCCCTCCCCAGGACTCCCCAGGGCATGAAGTCAGCCCACCTCCTGAAATAGCTGAGAAATGAGACCCAGAGAAGGAAGTGTCTGCACAGGCCATACAGTCTGCTCCCATGTCCAAAGCTCCTGGTCAGCCTGAGACAGAAAAGCTGCTTCCCGTAATCCTGTTCCCAGGGCTGCCTCGCAGGGGTGGGGGAGGCTGTGGGTCCCTCCTCCTGCCTCCAGCTGCCCCCCAGGCTTCAGTGACATTGCTCAACCAGGAACCAAAGTGCATTCCTGGATAAGGTCCAGCACACCCACCCACCACAGTCCTCAGAGGCCAAGACAGTAAGAACAAGGACAACAGGGTCAGGGGTGGGACATCTCCCCTTCTCTCCCCAGCATCCTGGTCAGGCAGAGGCCAGGGTTCAGAGAGAGCTTGATCAAAGACCCAGGGAAAGGATTCATGTCATGCTGGGCCCTGGCCAGAGGCTGGGCTGGGAGATCCAACTGGGAAGGCCCTGTCCTTACCTAGAGGTGACGGGAGAGGGGAAGATGGGAAGGAAAGAGAGGGGAATTCAGATCCCCAACCCCCCCCCCCCCCCCGCCCTGAGTTAGCCTGGGGCTAATCCTCATGAGGTCTGGAAAACTGTAATACACCCACCAGCTGGTTGGGGCCAGTGAGCCCCATAGCCAACTCCCCCATCACTGCTATGCAACCTAGAGCACCCTCCTTCTGGCCTCACTCTTCTCCCTGCAAATGGGGCCATGCCCTTTCCTCTCAGGCTAAAGTAAAGATTGAAGAGTGACTGCCACTTCTTTCTGCCTAGCCTCTCTTTCCCAGGGAATCCCAGAGATAGAGCCTTCCAGGTGTTAGCCTCAGCCCTAAAGGGTGTACCCTGCAGGCACAAAGGCCCCATTTCCCTGTGGGTGCTTTGGAAGCACCAGTTTTCATAGCTAGGAGAGCTTCCTGGCCCCTTCTCCAGCATGTGTCCCAGCCATCAGGGACTCCCACAGTCAAAGGTGATATCTGTCAGGTTGTGATCCCACATATACCTCAAAGAGCTATCACCAGTTTCTCCTCTCAGGCCCAAAAGAAGGCTGGAGGGTTTGGCCCCTTATAAGGGATGCTGTGCTTAGCAGTGCTTTCCAGACCACCCACCCCACACCCTGCCTGCCTTATTTCCCTCAGGGATCTATGGACTTCCTCTGGCTTGCTAGCTTGCTGTTTTATGAGAACTGGACTTGTATAGCTTGGATTTCACTCTGGGTTTACCTTTAGAAAGTAACTCTGGGTGTAGATCTGAACAAGACACTTTGTGTCAGTCTCTTCCCCAATCTCTACTCCTCAGACCTCAAGTCTCCATATGTCTTGGCAAGGGGGATGGGGTGGAGCCCAGAAAACCCTTGAGTGTGAGGAAGTACCCCAGTTCCCAGTAGTGCTGGCTGCCCTCTGCTCAAGTCAACAGCAGGGCTGGGGCTCTCCCTGGTGGCCAATACTAGGAAGTGTTGCTGGCCAGCTCTGGGAAAAGACAACCAGCCAGGGCTCCTGGTCCCTAAGGGCTATTTCTACCACCTGTAGTGTGAAGACCTCTAGATGGCCTTTGCTCCACCTTGCCATTGCTACCCTAGCCAGATGGCTCCATTTCATACACAGGACACTGAGGTCCAGGGAGTGGGGAGACTGTCCAGAGCCTGGCACAGCGGCCCCCATTTATTATGCTGCTCTGCCACTCTCAGAGAGAGTGTGCTCCAAAGTCCCACTCCTGGTGCTGGTGAGAATCTTGTCCCTGGGTTGCTAGTCGATCTTGCTCATCCCGAGCACTCAGTAGCCGGCAGGCTCCCCGCCTTTCCTGGAATCTGAGGCAGCTGCCCAGCCACTGGCCGTTCGGACAATGGCCTGCACCACAGCAATGAAGGTAGAAGTCACTTCAGTATAGTGGTGCCGATTCTTCAAAGCTGCAGCCACTGCCTGGGGGTAAGAAGGCAGAGGAAGGTCTCAACAGAGCTATAGATGTGATCCTGGGTGGTCACGGGCCTCATAAAGCCATATGGTGCCGTTTCCAGCCCAGGTGACAAGGAAGAGCAAGCTGGGGGCAACTGGACCTAGGAGCTCTTAACAGAGGTAGGTTTCTTGGCCTTCATTGCAAAGGGGTTCAGGATGACCAAAATGTAAGCCTCTAGTCCAGGGCACCCTACAACCCCTGTGACTCAGTTTCCCCAACCTCCAGCCTACCTGATCAATATGTTTCTCCACTGTTGTGGTGTTGGGCAGAAGCTGGTTGTGCAGCCGGGGTTCCTCCACCGTCCGCTTCACATCATAGCCAAACCACAGGTTGTGGATGATGGCCTGGGGGAGGAGAGATTGGTGAGGAGTCACCGTGGTCCAGAGACAGGGGCAGGGAGGACAGGTAGGTAGCACATACCAGTGCAGTGGCCGTGGTGATCTGTGTGCCCCCAGAGGCTCCCACCACCATCCGGACTTTGCCATCCTGATCCACAACGATGGATGGACACATGGACGAGAGTGGCTGCTTCCCTGTGGCCCATGGGGGCGGGGATTACTTATCAGCTGCCTGTCCAGAACAGCAGCCTTTTCCCAAACCCAAGTCCCTTACCCCAGGACCCCAACCCTGCACCTGGCTTGATGAAATTGGCTGGTGAGGGGAGCACTCCGAACTGATTGATGAAGTTGGGAGAGCTGAAGTCATCCATCTCATCATTAAACAGGATGCCACTGACCTGGGAAAGGACCTTGGAGCCAAAGCTGCAGATGGGTGAGTTAAAGTACTATGAACAACACAGCCCAGCCCTGCCTGGTCCCTGCCCTACCCATCCAAGCTCACTCCTGTGAGGCCCATCCAAAGCATTGTTTTCCACCATGCAAGTGGAAGACCCCCTTATGGGATGAGGACAGCCCCTTGCCACCACCTCTGACCCTGCCCCATCCAGCAGCCCCACGGCCCCTACTAGAGGTTGATGGTGCTGGTGGCTGACACAGCGCTGCCATCCTCCGCAACCACTGACAAGTGACCGGTGCCCCCATCATCGGGAGTGTAGAATTCAGGCTCATAGTAGGAGGCCATGTGCGTGGTGTCGTCGGAGATCCGGGCTTGGAGCTGGGCAGCGAAGAACTCAGAGCTCATGTTGTAGATCACCTGCCGAGACCCCAGAGCTGGCCTGAGGAAGTGGGGAGGGAGGGCGGGGAAGGGGGCACAGGGTTGTCCTAAGCAGGTCTAGGGACCCTCCTCCCACCAGCCATGGGTCTGACCACAACCTGCCTGTACCCTAAACCTCTGGGGCACTCCAGGGCCCAGGGGAGAGATTCAGCCTCTCACATGGCCCGTCTGATCCGCTCTTTAGCCTCTATCATCGTTGCATTGCAGCAACTCTGAATATCTGTCCACCCCACCATGAATTTTCATTCATGAAATTATCTATGGAGTTTTTGCTTACATGCCCACAGCTGAGGAATCAGCAAGAAACGAACACATAGATGGGGAAGGTGCTAGAAATAAGAAACCAGAAAAAGGGAATGGAGAGGGGTAAGGTGTGGGCAGAGTGGTCAGGGAGGGATTCTTAGATGAGATCATGTCTGAAAGAGACTAGCAGGAGGCCTAAAAGATACAGGCCTTGGCAGAGGTTGGGCAGAGCTGTGGTTGACAGTCAACAATGAATGGAATGAGGGAAGAAGAGACTGAAGATGCTGGCTGGGACCCATTCTATAGGAAGTAGAGTAAGTATCAGGAAACATTTTCTCAGGGTCCCTCTGGTGGCTATGTGGGGGATACAGAGGAGGCTTTGGCTAAGCAGGCTATAGATGAAGGTGGCTCACCCCCGATGGGAGAAAGAGAATAAAAAATGACCTTGAAATCTTCAGTTCAAGCCAGGCGCTGGTGGCTCATGCCTGTATTCTGGATACTCAGGAGGCAGAGATCAAGACGATCACAGTTCGAAGCTAGCCCAGGCAAATAGTTCATAAGACCCTATCTCAAAAATACTCAACACACACACAAAAAAGACTGGTGGAGTGGCTCAAGTGGTAAAGGGCCTGCCTAGCAACTGAGAGACCTTGAGTTCAAACCCCAGTACTGTCAAAAAAAAAAAGGAAAAAAAGAAAAGAAAATCTTCAGCTCAGAGTGGCTATTAACTGGAGACATAAACACTGCAGAAGGGAAGGTGTTGAGACAGTCAGAGGATTAATTTTAGACCCATACCCATCAGACACTGAAGAACATGACTCAGGTAGATGGACCCATGATGGCTGAGGTTCCCAAAGTGATGGCAAAGGAAGATAAGAAAAGAGGAGATGAAAGGGAGACAAACGAAGAAGGGACCCAAGGAGGCATAGCAAAGAAAATGACTCAAGAAGGTTTCAACAAAACCCCATGCAGGAACTGACCAACTGGAGAGAAAGCTCTTCAGCCTGAATCTGCTTATGAGAAAACAGAAAGAACCAAGATGTGAGAGATGCTGCAAGACAATTGCCTGGGGTTTAGAAATCAACAGACTAGCCCAGATTAAGAGACCAGAGAGGTGTAGTGGTTAATCTTGATTGTCAACTTGATTGGATTAAGAGATGCCTAGGAGATTAGCAAAGCCCACCTCTGGGTATCTCTGGAGGGCACTTCCAGAGACTATTGGATCATGAGGGCTCTGATCTAATCAATGTTTTAATCCATTGATAGATTCCAAATCTGAACGGACTATGGAGGATGAGGCATAGTTGGAGAAAGCAGGCTGCTGCAGCCTGCTTTTGAAGGGTATATCTTGGCTTTGGCCATTTCCTGTTCTCTTTTGGTTTTCTGGCAGCCATGAAGAGATCGCCTCTACTCCACTACGTCCACCATGAAGGTACAGGCTCAGAAACAGTCAGCAGCCATGGACTGAAACTTCTGCAACAATGAGCCAAAATAAATCCTTCCTCCCTTTAAATTGCTTCTCTCAGGTATTTGTCATAGCAACAATAAAGCCTAACACAAGAGGCATCATGGCCAAATTGCAAGGTGTGACTGGACCTAAAGAGCACTAGGTCCCTCAGAAAATGTTCTGCTAAAGGATCATGAGGTCTTGCTGTCAGATTTCTGACTGAAACCATTGCTCCTAGGAGATACATCCTGAAGTGTGACATGAATGTGGAAGGTGGAGATAGAAGAAAGACTGGGGTTCCAGGGAAAGAAAACAGGTATCCACTGATGTTTTTGGGGGGGATTTTTTTTTTTCGGCTTTGGAGTTTACACTCAGGGCTTTGCACTTGCTGGGCAGGTGCTCTGCAATTGAGCCATGCCCCCACTTCTCCTCCCTTTGTTTTCAATTTTATAGGTGTGGTGATCAGTGTGAGATGCTGCAAGAGGGGTCCAAAGTGGGAAAATGAAGCTGTATGTAGAGATCTGGAGGCATGGGGGTCAAGCAAGGAAAAAGTTTGAAGTATGAAAGGATGAACTGGGGGTGTAGCTCAATGGTAGAGCACTTGCCTAGCATGGGCAAGGCCTTGGGTTCAATCCCTATCACTGGAAATAAAAATGAAGAGAGGGTGATTTCGGCTGAGGACAGAGGCAGCAGCAGGAAGGTCAGCCAAGGACTCTCTGGGAGGAAAAAGGGGAACATGGAAAGAGGCAGAGAGGATCATTGTAGGAATGGTGTGCACAACCAGAGAGTGGACAGAACGGGCAGCCTTAGGCAGGAGGGAAGGCAGAGGTAGGCAGAATGGAGTCGGTGGCTTCTGATCCCTCCAAGAAATAAGATGCCAGGAGGCTTGCTGCAGTGGTGGGTGGTGGGCTGCTGAATGCTCACTGGAAAAGAGAGCTGAGGCCCCTCTTGGCTGGTCACAGGTCAGTATAATGGGGTCTACAAGTCTACACCAAAAGGCTGTAGATTCAAGGAGATAAGGAGGGACATGAGGGACCCTGGCAGGAAGGGATGTGACAGAGATCCCAGGACAGTACTAGCATGGAGTTGAGGCACCTACCACGTGAGTAGGCAAGGTTATGCTGGGCCAGGGATGGGGATCCGGGAAGTATCAATTCCTCTGCTCACCCGGTCCTTAATCCCTCGCAGATCCTTCATATCATTCCTGAAGTCTACAACCCTCCATGCATCCTTCACTTCAGGACTGAGTACTCCAGAATCTTTTAGGCCAAGAGCACTGTATGTGCAAAGGCCTTGAGGTAGGAGTTTAGCCAGAAAGGGGGCACTAATTACCTGTTGTCAAGTCTATTTCCCCAGCTCTTCCCATACCATGAGCTCCGTGAATCAGAGGCAGGGTTTTGGGGTAGCCAGTCTATTCCAGCACACAGTAGATCCACAATCAAAGTTTGTGGCAGAGATGGATTCAGAAAGCAAACATGAGGCTGAGGTGGCCTCAGAACCTCACCCAGCACTTCTATGGCAAGTCCCTTATCCACTGTGGGCTGGCCCCTTACCTGAGACACATCAACAAACTTGGGGTCACCCAGCAAGGTCCTTTTGGCATAGGCAAACCGAAAAGCCTCCACAATGCGGTGGTATGTCAGGCCTTTCTGCTCAGGTGTTTCCACACTTGCCGGTGAAAAGTTGTACCCTGGTTGGTCAGAACCAAGTGTGAATTGATCGGCCCCAGAGGATGGGGGGCTCAAAGGGTTAATGCCTCCCCTGAATCATCCTCTCACCCCCACAAGAAGGTAAACACTTAATAACCAACAGCAGTGTCCACTTCAGAAAGCTGTCAGGACAGGGCCTCCAGACCTGGGCCTCACATACCCACGCAGAGGAATCCAAGTTGTACAAAGTCAAGGGTAAACCACTTAGACTTATCAGAAGCACCCTCTGGACCAAGCCCCTGCCCTAAAAATCCCACCTCTCTCTCCCTTCCACCACTCCTCCTCCAGCTTCACCACCATGGATAGCACCAGGCACTCCACACTGCGCCCTGCAGGAGTAGCAATGCATGACAGGGCTCCTTCCACTCTCAGTAATGAAAAGACACAGGGAGGGGAGGGCTAGGCCCCAGATGCAGGAAGATAGAGTGTGGGGAAGGAGAGGCAGTGTCACAGCCTTCTCAGCAGGGCCGTGATGGGACCACTCACCTTTGAGGATGTTCAGAATGAGAACCAAAACAGGTCCACTGAGCGGGGCATTGGGCACATATAGCACCAAGTCCCCAAGGCTGATATTCAGGGGGTGCTCGATCAGCTCAGCGCGGTAGTCATTCAGGTCCTCAACAGTCATAATGCCCCCTGCAAGGGAATGGCAGGTTGGTGACACAGGGATAGGGCTGTTCCGTGGATATAGGGCTGCATTGTGGGATGAATGGTTACAGCACTGGGGTTGACCCATGAAGAAAGTCAAGGGTACACTGTTGGCGGGGGAGGCCAGAGAGAGTTTTTTCTAAGTAGAGAACATCTGCTCCTATCCTCTCCTCACAAACTCCGCCCTCTCTTCCCTTGAATGGATGGATGGAGAGCCTCTTAATTCAACAAGGACTCTCTACAAGCTAATTTCTGAAAGGTCGGTAATGTTTTAATCACCATCCTCCATAAAAAGCAGACAAAAGCAACAGGCAAAAGGTCACAGGCAAGCCTTCTGAGCCTGCCCCATCCTGTTCCTCTCTCACGAGCCCATCCTCAGCCCTTGTGACCCTCCCAGAGAACCAAACCCTCCCTGGCAACCTTAGCCCAAACTACTCCTCTGTTAGGAAGCTTGCTCCCTGCCTGACTAAGCTGCCATCTGTAGCTCAGTCACCTCTTATAGGATGTCCTCCCAGATCTGAGTTGGTACTGTAGCACTTCCCTAACCTGGGCTTTTACTTAACCTGCATTCACCTACGAGGGACTTTCTCTCCAGCTCTTCCCTGCCTCTCTGACTGAACAACGAGCTGTGGAAGTGGCCCATGACTGACTCTCCCCTGCCAAGAACTCCCTGAGGGTCCAGTGTCTAGCCCAGGCAAACCCTCAGGGTCTGAGCCCTGGCTCAGGGTTTCCACCGTGAGGTTCCTCACTCACCCCTGAGGTGGCCCACTCACCAGCTGCCTGAATGTCCTTCACAATCTGGGCTGTGAGGCTCCCATTGTAGAAGGCCTGAGCACCCTCTCGGGCCAGTGTCTGGAGGGTGTCAGCCAGCCGGGGCATGGTCAATGTCTCTCCCTCCTGGAGCACCTTCCCGTCCCGGCAGAAAACCTCGCTGGAGCAGAGAGGCTCACATGAGGCAGCAGGTTGGGCAGAGTTGACCAGCTCATTGCCCTCCATTCCCACCCATACCCACCCCTCCACCTGTTTGGTTCCCCTTGGTTCTTAGGAAGGAAGGCAAAGAATGGACAGAGCCTAACAGATAGTTGGTTCTGTCATTTGTGACTCCTGATGTCCCATGCCATTCTGGCCACTTGGCCAACCAATGCCTACTAGGGCCCCCAATGCAGGCTCAGAACATGCCTTCCCAGGCTGCAGGCCCCTGCCTGCAGACATACCACAGGGTGGGCGTCTGCTCAATGACCTCCCGTTTTCTTTCCAGGGCCCCTGCCAACCCCTTGCCCACAGGGAAGCCTTGGCGGGCCAGCTGGATGCTGGGCTCGAAGAGGCGATGCCAGGGCAGACGCCCATGCCGCTGGTGTGCCAGCTCATAGCCACTGATCTCCCCAGGAACTGCCACCGATAGTCCACCTGCGGGGGGGCGGGGGAGAAGGGGAACATTAGTGTCTCTTAAAGGCAGCATCCCAGACACCTTCCCTAACCCATTTTCCAGATAGGGCAAATAAGGCTTAGGAAGGAAAGGTGTGGCAGCTGCAGTTCAAGAACTGCCTATCCCACATCAAAGTCGGGCACGAGCTTCTGAGAGCCAGGTTCTTAGGATTCTTACAAGTATATATCTTGCAAAATCTGACACCCAGCATATAATTCCTCCTACCTTAAAAGAAATCCTCTCTTGACTTCAGGCCATATTCTCATGCTACCCTGCTTGCCAAACTCACAGGTGACACCCATGCTGCCAGATGCAGCATTCTGCTCAGTCTTTCTTGTTGTTTTGGTGGTACTGGGGTTTGAACTCAGGGCCTTGAGTTTGCTACCCCTTGAACCACACCCACAACTCTTTTTTTTATAACTTTAGTTATTTTTCCGATAGGATCTCATGCTTTTTTGGGCCTGGGCTGCATAACTGGGATTACAGATATGAACTACCACGCCCAGCTTGCTTGCTGAAACAGTACCTTGCTAACTTTTTTTTTATTTGTCCAATCCAATTTGCCTCAAACCATCATTCTTCCAATCTCTGTTTCTCCACTAGCTGGGATTATAGCCCTGCTCCATCAAGCCCAGATTTTTAAAATTTTTTTATGAGACAAGCTCAAGCTGACTTTGAACTCTCAATCCTCCTGGCCTAGCCTCCTGAGTGCTGGTATTATAGGCATATGCCACCACATTCACCCTGCTCAACCTTCTAGAGTTCATCACTGTTTCTTCCTGAGCCACCCCTGTGTCATGCCTGTCTAGCTCCTTCCCCTCATCTCCTCTGCCTTCTTCTGTGTCTCTTGCCATTTCCACTCTCTCTTGGTTATGACACCAGCTCTGGACTTCAGGTTCCACTTATGCACTGACAACTCTCAGATTTATCCTCTGGCCTATCCTGCTTCCCTATCTGCCAGACCCAAGTATCCACCTGCCCACTTAAAACAAGCATCTCAAACTTAACCCAGCCCCAACCACATTCCTGAGTCTCTGCTCAAACTCACTCCCTGCCAGCCATGTCTGTCAGGGTCATCCTGTCTATCCAGATGAAGACAAAAGACCCTAGGGTCACCCAGCACTCTCGGTACATGTATGCACCAAAACTGTCAGCAGATAGCAGGCTCTGTCACTCACATGTTTTCAGCACCAGCCACTTCCACTCTCCCTGAATTATTGGAGTGAACTCCTGCTGGGTCCCACTGGCTCTTTGACCCTTTACACAGCAGCATGAGCGATCCTATTAGCTACAAACCAGATCCATCCATCTCCACTCAGACACTCCAGGGGACCCTACCATATTCAGACAAGGGGTAGGGGCTTTACTGTGGCCCATAAGGTCAAGCAATGTAGACCATTCCATTGGACCCCTCCTCCTGGGTGGGTCACTTGTTGGCAGCTTCTCTGGCTCCCTGTAAGAAATTATCTCTACCCCTTCCACCTGACTATTCAGTCTTCCCTGAGATACCCACACGCTACTCTTACCCTATCCCTATCTCTGTTCCTTTGCTCAGCTGTCCCCTACCCTGACCACACCACCCTTTATAAAATCATGTCCCTTAGTCCTCAGGCTCTGCTCTCCCCACAGCCCATGACACTCTGGCATCTGCTCAGCCTTCTCCTCTCTACCACCTGGAGTGCCACTTCATCCAGGCTGCAAGTTGCATTCTTTGTCTTTGTTTTGTATCCAGCTTTGGGAACAGAGCATGACACTATAAGGGCTCAACAAGTCCTAGTTGAACAAGTAAATTCTAAGTGTCCACAAGCTGCTAAATTTGTAAGATTCCAACATTCCCATATTCTGAGCAATTTCATTTCTACACATTTTTTTTTTGAGGTACCAGGGGTTTGAACTCAGGGCCTATCTTGACCCACTCCACCAGCCCTTTTTGTGTTAGGTATTTTCGAGATAGGGTCTCGCGGATTATTTGCCTGGGCTGGCTTCAAACCACAATCCTCCTGATCTCCACCTCCTGAGTAGCTTGGATTACAGAGTGAGCCACTGACACCCACCCAGCCATTTCTACACATTCCGAGTTTCTCAAGGAATACGAAAAATCAAAGATTATGTATGTTGGGCAAGAATCCAGAGGCCGCTCAAAGGATACCACCCAGGACTCTGTCTCTGGATATCAGCCCCGCCCTTCCTCCTTCTTATCCTGAAATCCATTCCACCTCCTCTGCATATTGCTCCCGGGGTACTGGCTTCCCCTCATCTACCAGGGGAATTCAGGAATCTCCCCTCCACTTAAGGCCTTGTCAGAAAAGACAGATTCTGCCCCCTACTCTAGAGGTCTCTCTCCACAAATGAATGAATGAATGACTTCACAATCTCAGCTTTACCATCTCCTGGATGGGTGACCTCAATCAGTTTGCATAATCTCTCTGGGCCTCAGCAATTCTACCTGTAGAATGGGAATCAACATAGCATCCCCTTCCTACCTCCAAGGACATAGGAAGGATACAAGGGGCTAATCGGTGAAAAGCACTGAGTAAGGTGCCAGTCCCATTGACCCCTGGGATATGTGAGGTGTCCCTCGGGACCTGTGAAAGATTGGCTCCACTCCTCAGGAACATCAAAATCCATGAATGGTCAATCCCTTATATAAAATGGGATAGCAGTGTTATATAAACTGCACACACCCTCCCATATACTTTAAGTTATTCCTCGATGACTTACAGTACATAACCAATGCAAATGCTATATAAAATAGTTGTTATAACTGTGTTCTTTAGGAAGTGATGACAAGGTGAAAAGGTCTACACATTCAGTACAGACGCAATTCTTTTTCTCAAATATTTTCCATCCATCGTTGGTTGAATTCACAGATACAGAACTGGTGAATACAGAGGGCCAGGCATGATTATTCTCACCATGTTCAATCACAGGTGGTCCTGGAGGGCTCTGAGTAGAAATAACAGAACCTGTTCCTCCCCTCTACAATGACGGTTTTACCATTCATTACTGGAGGGTGTTATGGTGACAGGAAGGAATAGGAGCTGTCCTTGGGCCTTGGACAAGGCCATGCTTCTGCGGGTGAGGCAACTTCTCCATGATTTGCTCTGATCCTATACCCACACCTCGAGCCAATAAAACAGCTTACCTTCCTCAGACTGCTTAGAATTATTGAACATGCTGGCATGAGCTAGCCTAGGAGCCACCTCTCGGGCATTGATGATCTCAGCTTTTCCTAGAAGAAGAAGCAGGTAGGCAGGTTGGACCAACCCCAACCCTTCCTGCCAAGGGAGCCCAGGGGCCACCCAGCTATGCTATCCCCCAGCCCAAGTCCACTCCCTGGGTCACTCACCCGCCCAGACCCCAGGCACTCACGCGTGGTGCTGTTGTAGATGGTAAGAAACAGGCCGCCCCCGATGCCCATGCTGTGTGCGTTCATCAGCCCCATGCACAGCAAGCCAGCAATAGCTGCATCCACCGCTGAGCCACCCTCCAGCAGCATATCCCTGCCATTGGCATGTGGGAGAGGAAGATCCTGAGGTTCCCCAGGCCCCATACCTATCTTGCCACCTACCTGCCCACCTCCCCTACCCAAAGGAAAACAGAAGAGTCTGTGATTTTTTTTTTTCTTTTTGGAGACAGGGTCTTGCTATGTAGGCTAAGCCAGCCTCGATGGTCTTTTTTTTTTTTTTTCATTTTTCTTTTATTATTCATATGTGCATACAAGGCTTGGTTCATTTCTCCCCCTGCCCCTACCCCCTCCCTTACCACCCACTCCGCCCCCTCCCTCTCCCCCACCTCAATACCCAGCAGAAACTATTTTGCCCTTATTTCTAATTTTGTTGTAGAGAGAGTATGAGCAATAATAGGAAGGAACAAGGGTTTTTGCTGGTTGAGATAAGGATAGCCTCGATGGTCTTGAACTCTCTCGATCCTCCTGCCTCAGCTTCCCAAGGGCTGGGATTAAAGATGTGTGCCACCATATCCAGCAAGGTTTTTTCTTTCTTTTAAATATTTCTATATTCATTCCTGTCCAGTGAGCACATCAACCACATTTAAGTTTTTGGTTTCCTTCCCTTTCCCTATCCCTCCCATGCGTGGCCTCCCCTGAGTGTGACCTGTGTTCCAAAAGCTGCATTTGTTTTAGGTCTATAATCCGCATATGAGGGAGAACATAGGAATTTTGGCCTTCTGAGCCTGACTAACTTCACTTAAGAAGATGTTCTCCAGTTCCATCCATTTGCCTGTGCATGACAAAATTTCATTCTTCATGGCTGAGTAAAATTCCATTGTGTATAAATACCACATTTTCTTAATCCACTCATCAGTAGTGGGGCATCACGGCTGTTTCCATAGTTTAGCTATGATGAATGGCGCTGCAATAAACATGGGTGTGCAGATGTCTTTGTTGTAAACTGACCCGCATTCCTTTGGGTATACCCCTAGGAGTGGTATTGCTGGGTCATATGGCAGATCTATTTTTAGTTTTTTAAGAAGATACCATATTGTTTTTCCATAGTGATGGAACTAGTTTAAATTCCCACCAGCAGTGTATGAGGGTTCCTTTTTGCCCCCCACATCCTTGTCAACATTTGTTGGTTTTGTTGTTCTTGATGGTAGCTATTCCCACAGGAATCTTAGAGTGGTTTTTTCCATTATGGCCAGGGACGGTGAGCATTTTTTTATGTTTTTAGCCACTTGAACTTCTTTCTTTGAAAAAAGTCCTGTTCGGTTCAGTTAACCATTTCTTCACTGGGTCATTGATTTTGGGGGAGTTTAGTTTTTGAGCTCCCTGTATATTCTGGTTATCAGTTCCTGTCTGATGTATAGCTAGCAAAGATTTGTAGTCCCATTTGTCCATCCTTTCTCTTAAGTTGCTGAGTCACTTGAGTTCTACTGAGGAAGTCATTGCCTATACCTATTGGTGGGACTAAGGTTTGAACTCAGAGTCTCATGCTTGCTAGGCAAACATTCTTAACACTTGAGTCACTCTGCCAGCCAAGTTTTGGGTTTTTTATGTTTTTTTTAATACTTATAGTTTTTTCTTTTCCAATCAAACAAATATATATGACTTATTTGCAAAATGGAAAATATTTTTTTAGTGACATTTTTCTCCTTAAGTTCCTAAGTGGGAACTGATCACTGAGAGAGGACTCTAAAGTAAAACAGCAGCATTTATCTAGAGAGATAAATAGATACTCTTAGAACTGAGAAAAGGGGCCCACACTGGCTACTGGAAGACCAACACTCTGTTCTCAGGGTCCCTGTCTCTTCTCCCCTGCCAGAAGCTACTGAAAATCCAAGAAAAGGACAGGCAGTTCCATGTACATTGGACTTTCTTTGTTCAGGAGGCCTATTTACAGGTGAGGAAATTGAGTCTTGAAGGGGCAAAGGCTTTGCCCAGGTCTACTTGCATAGCTGCCCCACACCACCCCACACTCTGCCCCAAATCAGGTGGTCCCACTCACCTCCCAATCTCTGAGCAGTGTTTGGCATCTGCAGCCACGGCTGCCCTGGGGTATACATGGTCAGGCTTCCTGGAGGTAGAGGGCAGCCAGAGGCAAAGGACGATGATGACCACCACCAGAACCACGGTCAGCAGGCCCAGCACCACAAACCGATTCTTCATGACTCTATACCCTGGCTGCACAGGATAGGGGGAAGAGAGGAGTCAGGTCCAACCTTGGGTACTCCTAGACCCCTCCCTCAGAGGGCACAGTCTAAAGTCAAGCCTCAGAAACACAGCCTTTGTCTCTTTCCAGCCTCCTCAAAGATGTGCGGGCTGTCCAGCCCCCAGACCTTTGGCCAGGCCACTCACTCTGCCAGTGACTCTAGACGCCATCTCTGCCCTCCCATATCCTCCTTGCTTATCCCAGTGAGGTCCTCAACTCCAACAGAGACTCTTCCTAGAAGCCCCTTCAAGACTCCACATGCCCTGTCTACCTTTTCATAGCAACCAAGCCTCCTCTGCTTAGTGTGGTACTCCAGAAGTACACAGCTAGCCTCATTCCTTATGTGCCTCCCACCCCAGCCCAGAGCCAGGTATGGTCTGTGGGTCCCACAGAGTGGTGGCACAGAGCATGGGGATTAGCATCCATCATGTTCTCCAGGGGAGCACACCCCAGTCTCCCAAAATCAGCAGACCAGTGCATGGAGCCAGCACTTACCGTCCAGCAACAGGTAGGAGCCCCAAGCTTGCCTAGGGAGGTAGCGCCAAAATAGGAGGGGGTTTGGCTGAAAGCAACTGTAGAAATAAACGGGGTCTCCCTCACACCTTTCAGGAGTTCGTGGCCACAGAATCTTCTCTAGAGACTCCCTGACTAGGCAGCCTCCTTTCCTCTGAAAAATCACAAGGGAGGACCTGCAGCAGGCCCAGCCCCTTCCAAGGGGCTCAGTGTGACCTCCCTCTGCCTCTGGCTTGTTCTCTACTTCCAGTTGAACTCTGGAGTCAAAGAGGCTGTCAGCCGTGCACATGTCTGCATGACTTCTCCCAGCATTTCTCCCAGGCACAGCCCAGGGAGAGTCTGCAAAACAGGGCATCCCTGTACAAGCCCAGGATTTGGTGGTAAGTGTGTCATGTGACAAAGGGGGCCAAGGGACCAGAGCCAGCCTGTCCCTGTCTGAGTCTGGACTTGCCACTTGCCTGCTGCAGGGCTTGGGCAAGTCACTTCTCTGTCCAAAGCTGGCCTCGCTTGCTGGGGGTGTTATCAATTGAGTAGGTTAGAATGTGTGCAGTGCTAAGTAATTGGTGGCTATAATTAATTATTTTCATGGACATACTGAGGGATGCTCCTTGGAGGTGTGTGTGGCACAGGGGGACACTGGTAGACCTTTTATGGTGTATTTCCCCTGTGTACTTCTTTCCAGGCTATGCAGGGAACGATTGATACAGCCTCAGGGTCCCTATGGCTGTGGCAGAAGGTGAGGGGTGTGACCCCAACAGAGAAGGAAGAATGTGGTGACAGAGTCAGCAGGGGATCCCTTCTCCCAGACTCCATTCCCTCCAAAGGGTTGCATCCACCAGTGAGTCACTCCAATGAGTCCCAGGCTTGCTTCCCCTCTGCTTTCTCTGTCCCTGTTCAGAAGGTCTGAACCTGGAAGCTAAACATGATATCCCAGAGATGGTCTAGGAATAGAGTCCTTATCTGCTTCTCACACCTGCAGGGGGCATTCCAGACACGAGCATGGAAGGGTGGCTTGATAGGCATGGAATGACAGATGACATAATAGGATTTGGATCTTCAACTAAAGTGGAAAAATATAGAGACTCATACCTCTTGGTGCAGAGGGGGAAACTGAGCCCTACAGCAGAGGGCCTGGTGGGTGGTCACACAGTTGACCATTATCCCCACATCTCCATCAAGCTCCAAAGCAGCCCTCCCTCACCTTGAGCACCACTGCCTAAATCCAGGCATGACTCTTTCTGACCCAAACACACAGCCTTCTTCTTATCCTTCCTCCCACCAGCTCAGTCCTGCAAAAAGCAGCCAGAGGGCTCTGTTGTTCCAAAGTGCCAACCAGGCCCTGCCTTCTTCACTGTCTGAGGGACAGTCCATACCCTTCACCAGGCCTGCTGGCCCTCTGAGCAGGCAATACTCTGGCCATAGTGGGAAGCCTGGGTCTGGGTCAAGGGTCCTGATAAGAAAGTCATACTGGGAGGTCTGACAGGCTTCAGGAGCCGGGCCAGCGACCGTAGCATAGTCCCTCTCATATGTAGTAGTGTTGGGTCTGATCATTCATTGAGTATTCCACACAGCCCTGGTCCACTTTGGGCACCCTGAGCCTTACTTCTCCCAGGCTTGGGGTTGTGAGCTGAGACTCATCTCATAACCCTAGGGTGAGCCAGCCATCACCCCCAAGACAGACATTCCAGCTTCCCTTGCCCACCCATTTCTCCATCTGTACACTTAAAGGTCCAAGTAAGGTAACTCAGCAAGACCCGGCCTGCCAGAAAACATGGAGCAGGGAGTGGGCAGCACTAACCGACCCCTCAACCCCGCCCCCACCAACCCTGCAGGGACTGGGAGAGCTGGCCCAGCCTCCTGCAGGCAGATGTTCCCAGCCCAGCGGAAGACGCCCTGCTGGGGACTAACCTTCTTTCTCAAAGACTCACTAACAGAATATCCAAGTCCAAGTAGGTGTCAGAAGGAGAAACCAAGGACAAGGAGTGGGTCATTCATAGCTCCAAGCCTTACACCCAGACCCCTCCCTCTTTGTAACCCTGGTGTGGTTTACCTGAGGCCCAGGGCAGCAGCAGGGCCCAGGGGACAGTCCTCCTTCCTCAGTAGACAGTTCTGGACTGGGGCACCCGCCAGGGAGGAAGAGGCAGATTTGTCCCCTGGGAAAGTTCTAACCACAGAACTGGCTTAGTCTCCGCTCCCAGAAGTATCAAGAGCCATACCCACAGGCCCTGCAGAGCTCCTCAGGGGACTTCCAGATTGGGATCAGGATCTGGAGATGGACACCTCCAAGCTGCAAAAGCAGGAAAGGTGCAGAAGTGGCCAAAGACCCCTGTGCTTACCTACTCCCAGAGAGGACAAGAGGTCAGCCAGGGAGTGACCAGCATCCCCAGGGGGGGCAGTTGGAGGCAGCCGATTAGAGTGTAGAACCAGCAGTGATCTGCCAGAGGTCCAGCCAGGCTAGGAGGATGGTTGGAGCTGGGAGGATGGTTGGAGACTGATGTCACAGCAGCAAGGAGGCACGGTGACTAGGCTTGTCACCAGGTGACTAAAGTTCATGCAGCCCTGGGAGGGCCCTGGGCAGGGAGGTGGGAGGTACCATGAGCCTGCGAGAGGGTTTCCCCTTTCTCAGACTCAGTTCCCTCCAAAGGGCAGCATCCACTGGTGAGTACCTCTGGGGAGACCCAAGCTGGATTCCCTTCTGGCCCACCCTATAACTGTTCATAGCATTTCAATTCAGACCCTAGAAATGGCTCCTAAAACAGTGGAGTAGGGGTGCCCTGGGCACCAGACCACAACCTGAACCTTAGAGGCCTCACCGCACCCTGCTGCAGGGAGCCCCTGGAACATGGCCTGGGGCCCCAGCGTCCAGACCAGTTCAACCACTAATCCAGGAAGTTAAAGCACTGCAGGCCCAACAAACTCCCTAAGCAGCCTAGAAAGGCAGAGCTCAGAGAGCGCCATGGCTAGCCCAAGGCAACACAGCCCAGCAGTACAGTCAGTGCTACCCCATACCTTCACCAAGTTGCTGTGAGTCCCTGAGCAGCTCACCAAGGAAGTCCCAACTAGGAATAGCTGTGGGCCTGGCCCAAGGGGCCTCAGACACTTTTCCCCTTACCCTCTTGACACTCATCTGCCAGCTGTCAATGTGCAAGCCTCATTCACCCAGAATGACTTTGAGTACAGCCCCTCTCCAACACATACACATACACACACACACTGAGCTGACTCTACACTAAGCACTGCACACAACCAAGTAGGGAGCATGAGGAAGACGCAGACAGAGCCAGCCTGGAGTTTCCCTGCTAATCCTCCAATCCAGCCTTCGCAAAGCCACAGGAGTAAATCCAGAGCACAACCCAAACCTACTCACAAACAGGAAACCAAAGCTTAAGCAAAAGCAATTTACCCAAGGTCAGCTGATCCTGGGAGGCATGTGAACCCCCAGGTGGGCCCAGGACCCACCCCACCATCACCCCGGCCCCCAGGGAGGAGTCACCTCCTGTGGGCCCAGCCTGGCCTCCATGCCCTTCAGGATTCTCACTGCTGCCTAGATCTGAAGTTGAAATCTGCCTCCCTTGCTGCCCAACCTGGTAGCATAGGGTTGAGTATTAGGAGAAAAAAACACCCCTTCCCCAAGACTTGAAAATCATAACTTGTTGGAAATCTACTGAAAGAGGTGCCGAGAGTAACCTTGAGGTGCCGAGAAGACCCCTGGAGTTGGGTAATGAGCTATTCATTGCACAATGGGCCTGCCCCAGCTCCACCTCCCCCACAACCAGAGCCCAGAGAAGACCGCATGGCTGGAGGACACAATGCCTCCCAGTCCCCGTCACAGCTGCAGCTCCTCTCCAGAACAGATCACTATCCCTGTCGGGGCTGTGAGATTCTCGTGGACCTCAGTTTCTCCATGCAGCACCCCTCCGTCTTCATTCCAAGTCTACTTTCTGAGAAGTGGGTTTCTTCTCAGGGGACAGTGACTGCACTCTTAACTCTACAACACCTGCCCCACAGCTGAGCAGAGCAAGTCAAAAAGCCTGGGGCCGGCCAGCTCAAACCCACTTACCAGATAAGAAACCAAAGCCCCCAGCCCAGACCCCATGACTGCCTACCTGAGAGATCCCAGAAGGATCTGTTCATAGCCAGCCTCCTGTCTTCTCCCAGAAATGCCGCTCACTTGCGCCACACAGATACACAAACCGAGGTTCAGAGACAATCTCAGCTACGGCATGGCCAACACATGGCAGAGCTTAGGGAGCTCCAAGGCTGAATTTCCCCACCTACGATGCCTAGCTGCTCAGAGAGGGTGAGCAGCACTTTGGGTCACACAGCTGCTGGAGCACAGCCAGACACCTGCTGGCTCACCTGATTCCCAGTCCTACACAAGCACAGAGCTAAGTCCCCATACCCAGCTCCTCCCCTCCCTCCCCCTGCCAGCCTAGTGTGGGAG